CACACAAATCACAGTATCTTGTCTGGCTAGGGATCTTAAAAATTAACAGAGATAAATAATAATCTGTTTCACATGTTGGAGTAGTTGCAGATAAGGTTGTTGGAGCTTCTGGATCTAGTTCTAATAGTTGGGATTCATTACAGCAAGCTGACATAATTCAACATACTATTTACTTTAATGTGACAACAGATGAAAAAAATGAAACAATATGAGTTGTTGAGAGTGATCTAAAGAAAAATGAGATGAATATGCTTTTCAGATGTCACATTAACTAAAGAATAAGTACAATTGATTTTATTATTTTATTTTAAAAATGGGCATTTTTCACTTTTTCCAGACCTCCATTTGTATTTTTATTTTTTGCCAAATGAGGTGTTATTTTTGTCTTTTATTGTTAGAGGTTATGTTTAGATACAACCAATCAGGCCCTAAGTGCAAAAAAGTTCTGCCTTGGTGCTTATCACTGGTATAATTATTTTTGTTCTCCTAACTTTGCTCATAGGAGCATGAATCTCTTTGTAGCTTTATGGTAATGGAGTATTTCTAGCATTCAATAAATATCACTTCCTGTCAAGAAAAATTTTTTTACATTGTATAAGTGAAGGTTGTTTTCAGGGTTAAATGACTGATATTAATGTATATATAGTAAAATGATTGCAAAATATTAAAATGATTTTCTTACGTTGGTGTTCTTTTATAAATACTTTGTGAAAATGATAAACTTTTAGTCATACCAAGCCAGTATGTTAAGAATTTTTCTTTTAGATTTTATAATTAAGCATTGCTTATAAATATTTATGACTTCAAGTGCTTACTATTTTAGTTTTCTTTAAACATGAGAAATGAGTCATGAACTGTTTTTTTTTTCCTCCTCTTAATGCTGGATGTGAATCCCATCGTGTGTAGACCCTGTATGTTTGTGTGAATGTGTAGCTCTAGTTCCCTGTCACCAGACCAAGCTGATCAGAATGTCGATTCATCATTTCATCACTCTCAAACTCATATATTTAAAATGGTTCTCTTTTGCCCACCAATCTCAGCATTTTCAATGGAGTCACAGCTTAAAGGTGGTTAGGTTTTACAGATTTCGCCTAAGGACAAAATAGAGCATGCTCAACATGATCCTTGAAAATCTCTTAAATTGCCAATAAAGTTCTCTTTATAATCTTATAGTTTGAATCCCTGTGGAGTGATATGTAGGTGTGAATATGTCATGCATATAGTAAGTACAATATATAATAAAAACTGCATACCAACAATAGACTTTTATAGCATTAATAAATACACCATTTTAGGGCTAGAAGTATGACTCAGTAATACAGCACCTGCATGTGTGAGACCCTGGGTTCCATCCTCAGCATCACAGGAAAAAAAAATTACACTATTTAAATGTGTGCCTTTTTGCCAATACAAATGGTTGGATTTATGTAAATTTATTACTGATCCCATACCTTATAATAGATGTAGAGTGTAAGCTCCACAAGGGCAGAGATTTTTGTCTGGCTTGTTCGTAAATATATCCCCAGAGCCTAGAACAGGGCCTGGCACACAGTAAGCATTCAATAAATATTTACTGAATGAATTAGCTTTGATGTATATACCTATTTATAATTTGCCTCCACTTTATCCTACTTTAGCTCTCATTCAATTCAATCTAAAAGAATCTTTTTTTAAAAAAAAATACATACAGGTTTTCTGTGAGGAACTTTATGAAGCATTAGGCAAAGGGGTAGGATAATACAAATAATATACTGCCCTGCCTTGAAGAAGAGGGTGGTATTGTTGGAGAAATGGAAACAACTTTTCACTGAAGGTGAAGTGCCATGGATAGGGCACAAGTACCATACTGTGGAGGACTGAGGGAGCCTTCAGTTTTTTTGTTTTTTTGAGAAGAGAGAGAGATAATTTTTTAATATTTATTAAAGTTTTCGATGGACACAACATCTTTATTTTATTTTATGTGGTGCTGAGGATCAAATCCAGCACCCTGTGCATGCCGGGAGAGTGCGTTACTGCTTGAGCCACATCCCCAGCCCAGAACCTTCAGTTTTGATGGAGTGCTCTGGGAGGCTTTGTGGGAGAAGAAGAACCTGGTAAACTAGACCCACAAAGACTGAGAGGTTGCCAGTAAGTGGAAGGCACTGGGTCAAGGGAACAGCACGAGGTGTGCCCATTCCCGTTCCTGGACATGTCTCCTTTGTTTGCCCAGATTTCCTTTCTTTAAGTTCAAAGACTGTCATATAGCTTTTTTTTTTTTTTTTTTTGAGTCCTCACTGTCCTAGGCTAGTGACGTTACAAGTAAATTCTCAGTTAAATATTAACTGAATGGGTGGGCTGGGGTGTGACTCATTGGTAATGTGCTTACCAAGCATACATGAGGCCCCCTCAATCCTCAGTACCTAAAACAAAACAAAAAGTATTGAGTGAATTTCAGATAATAGTACCGTGTCTTAAGTTGACTAACAAACCTAAATCTATGTTCTTTACCTCTTTTCCCACAAGGCTTCTCAACCAGACTCGTTATGGGTCAGCCTGAGATTTGCTCTTATTTAAATTTTAAGACATGGGCCATATCCATGATGTGAGAGAGACTCCTAAAAAGTCAGGTTACACACATGTAAGATCTTGTTTTTATAAGCTGTTATTAGAGTGTGAAAATTGGATCATTCATGTTCTTCCTTGTGTCCTGATATGAAATCATGAATCAGTTATGGCTTTCATCTCAGAGCACTAAGTTGGGAAATAAAACATCTCTCCATTTGTGTACAGGGAGTTACTGAGTCCAGATTTTGTAGTCTGCATAGATCATTAGATTAGTTGCTAGTCTAAAATAATTCAATGTGTGTGTCTTGAGAGCCAGTTTTAGTTCAGTATGATACCACCACACACCAGTGTTTTTTAAAGGCCTTTTTGAGTCTTCACTTTTATTTCAGAAAAGATTAAACTAAATCTTAACTAATAAAGACTGTAATACACTTTGGCAAGGAATTCTAAGTCAAAAATGATCAAACATCTCAATGAAACTATTATTTTAAAAATGACCAAACATATCTATAAAGGCTTGTTTCTGGATTTAGGTCCTCCCACTCTCAAATAGTGGCTTTTTGTGGGAAGAGTGTCTTTTGAAAGATTACCATAGAGCAAGTTATCAGGCATTCCTGCCTAAGAATCTCTTTTGTAGCCTCCAGTTTACTTATTCTTGGAAGTTACATTTAACTATTATTATTATTTAAAATGTCCAGGAATAGCTATGTTTTGGCTTTAGCTGTCTTTGCTAAGTGTTTAAGATGAAGCAAGTCAAAAATGACTTTTGTTTCTATCTATTGTTAACAGTCAGCTGTGTTTCCATGGGAGTCCTGGGGGAACTTTACAGCAGCTTCTCAGTTCCGCTAGTGCCATTTGCGCTAGGATGGATCCAGGCCTTGCTTGACCATGTGGCTTCCCTTGGAAGCATCAGGGATGTCTCCCTCCTCTGATGACCCTCCTCTTCATAGCAAATGCACTGATTGGCTTTCTGTCCTCCAGTGGTCTCATTGACATATTCCTGTGCTGTGGCATTTATTGCTGCATCAATCTGGTCCCAGTACTGATGAATTCTTGTTTCTCTTATAGACCACCCATCTACTCAAATGGCCCTGCAGCCTATTACTTCTCAATCGGACTTCTAACATGGACCACTCGATAGACCCGATTTTTAAAGGGGACTCCAAACTGCTTGCCCAACATCGTCCCTTTCAGCCTGAAGAAGCCAGAATAATCTTAGCCCCGTTTCCTTACAGCAGTAAGGAGTTCCCAAAATTAGAGGGGAGAATGAAGCCAGATTTAAAATTAGGTAGTCAGTGTAGTTAGGTAAATCGGGTCTAATATCGAGTGAAATCTAAATGGAGGCCATGTTGAGAATGAATTCCCAGAAAAGTTGAACTCTCCTGGAATGTTAATGAAGTCCAGGAAAAAGCCCTAGGCCTAAAGTCCATCCCAAAGAAGTGTTAATGAAGTCCTTCCATCCCAGATTACTTCTTGGTGCACCTGTGTCACCAAAAACTATAAAATGGAGAGACAACCGCACTTCCACGGATTCCATCTCTTGGGTCCCCTTCCTCCACCAGGAGGAGTCTTTTCTGCTGTCCTTTAATAAACTTCTAATTTTCCACTCTGACCTTGCCTCCCCATGCTTCTCTGGTGTTATTCTTCAACATTGGGGAAGCAAGGACTCGTCAACAGCGGCAACAATAGCATAAGTGAATAATTGTGCTGCCTTTTAGAAGATGATGAATTAAATGATCTGCAAATGACATGTTTTAAAACGTTTTGACATTTTAGGTGATATTTACAAACAGTGAGATGCACATGTTAAGTCCCATGGGCTGTGACAAATGGGTAGTAAATCCACCTAACACCCTAACCAATAGAACAATGTATCACACTCCCACCCCAAAGATTCCCTGGTGTTTCCTTCTAATCCCTGGTTCTCCAGGGGCTGTGCTCTGCTATCTATTACCATACAAAATTAATGTTTAAATAATATGTTCTGCATAAAAGAAAACAAATGGTAACCCTCAGTGTACATTATTAATAACCGATGCTGATGTGGAACTCTATCCTCTTCGATTCTTTTAAAAAGACAAATTTAACACTCATCTTTTTTTTTATGCTCAGTTATTTTTAATTTAATTAAAAGCCAAGTCTGGCTCCAGGAGAAGAAAAAGCAATGTGCAATTTATCTGAACTTTTCCTTTGAAATTCTTCAATGACATTTGGGAAAACAAGTTTACAGCCCACACTTTATGCCACTTCAATGGCTTTTCTTTCGGTCTGACCCAGGTAAAGAAGTGATTGTATTTTAAGTGCCTGGAGACGGCTTACCCTTGAAACACTAGGTCTGGGCTGGGGGCTGGGGGTGCAGCGTAGGGGGGGTCTGCGTCTGGGGTGCCCCGCCCCCTCCCCGCAAAACCCTGCCCGGCGCGCACGTTTCCTGCGGGTTTCCTGTCCAGCGGCGGCTAGCCGGAGGGGGCAGGAAAGGATGCGCTGCCCAGAAGTGGCGGGGGCGGACCTCGCTGGGTCCGGAATGACCCCCGCCCTCCGGGTGCCCGCCTCCCCTTGTCGTCCGGGGCGGGTCCGGGCGGGGCTGCGGGAGCGGTGCACCGCGGGGCGCGGGAGCGCAGTCCGGGGTCGCGGGATGCTCCGCGCGCAGCCTCGCGGCCCTTGAGGCCTCCCTGCCGCCTCACCGCCTCTCCGCCTCTCCACCTCTCCCGGCCGGCCTTGAAACCTCCGTCCAGCCTCACCACCCTCGCCAGTCCCCAGAGGTAAGGAGAGCCTTGGGCAGCTGGATGCCCGCGCCCCGGCCGGCGCTCCTGTGCCACGGGGTTCGGGAAGTGCTGCCGGACCTTGCCTCCTCCTGGCAGCCTGAAAGCGCAGATGGATAGTGGCGTTCACTCCACCTACCGCTTTCAGTCCCCGGGGAACAAACTCTTAAAAGGTGTTGATTTTACACCCGGGAGTCTACCCTGAACCCGGCTCTTCCCGACGCTAGTGTGGCCGGTGTAACCAAGATCGGCTGTAGGCGGTATTGAGTCCAGGTGTTTGGGATCTTTGAAAAATCGTAGCTCTGAGACTAAGCGTGGCCGAGTAAGTTTGTTTCTTAACAAAAATCAATCTTTTCTGGGGTACAAATAACATGAGATGTAAGAATTTCAAGACGATCTTCATTAAAAGGGCTTTGTACTGACCGCTCCATGGCTGGAGTTCCTAGCATGAACTTGACCTGCTGCCTTTGGAAGCTGAGTAAACGGGGCTTACGCAGCCTTCCCAGGGAACCCAGGCACCGCAGCCTCAACTGGATATGTAAACAAAGTCTTCATACAAACGGCTTTGGAATTGGATTTCCTCCTAATAAATATTATTCCTAGATATGTACAAGAGTATATGCATGTTTGTCAGAGGGACAAAAGACACTTTGTTTCTGTTTAATTAAATTAATTAATTAGTTTTTGTAATTTCAACTCTGGAAAGTCAGTAGAGAATTATTATTTTTTTCTTTTTTGGCAGGTGTGAAAGGGAATATAAAAGCGTTTACTTAGCTGTTTTAGCAAAAGCATGGGATCTAAGGTTGAGTGATGCCATTGAGAATATTCACAACTTGTCTTCACCCTCTTACCTCTCAGCAGATGCGTTTAGAATTTGTACTTGAATGCTATGTACAAGTTGTTATTTGGGGAAGTTGTTTTTCCCATTTATTTTTTCCGTGTGGGGATTCAACCCGAGACCTCCAGCATGCTAGGCAAGTATACTACCACAAGCTACATTCCCAACGCCTATACAAATATTTTAAAATGTGTCTTAAATGGACCTAACTTATTTTCTTGACATGATTCTCAAGCCAAACACTGTTAAGTAGTCAGTAGTGGAATTGGGAATAACATGTTGAAAGACAGCAAGGTAGACAAAAAAACACAAGGATGGATTCTGACTGTGAACGGAATACATATTATATTTATAGGTAGGCCAGTTTATTTTATAATTCTATTTCTGTTCAGTCTAAATATAGATTATCACACAATTCTGTGTTTTACTGGTCATTTTCATGAGATGGAAAATGTATTATAATCATAAAATTAGTTAAGATTAATGGCCTAAAAAAAAAAAAAAGCCAGTTCAGCTTTTGGAAGCTTGGTTACTGATTATCAGTGACTTAAATGAAGCATTTTAATTACCCTAAGTGCCCATACTTGCCCCAGAGATTGGATGATGCTGTCTTCCAGGGCCTCACCTACTGTCTTTGGTCAGGTTTCCCAATCTATGTTCAAGGTTAGGATTGGGTCAAATATGTGGCTAATTCCACCAAACCAAAATTTTCTTTTCTTTCTTTCTTTTTTTTTTTTTTTTTTTTTTTTGTGGAAGTTGAGAAAGGGAGGGATCCCTGCCCATTTGTATAGTTACACTTGAGATGTCTGCTTCCCTCACAGGAAGCTCACTTTCTTTTGTTCAACCAATTCTTACCGAAAGAAAGCTAAGGGACACACCAATTTCCTTTCCATTGAATTTTGGCTTATTGCAGCCTGTCTGCTTAATTCCATTAATTTCTGTTCTTATCTTCAGGGAGGTAACATATATTTCAAATGTAATATAATTGTTTTTTAAATATACATTAAATATGGGACTGGGAACGTAGCTCAGTACTAGAGTGCTTGCTTAAGTGTGTGCAAGGTTCTGGGTTCAATACCCAGTACCACAAAACAAAATAAAACAAGACAAAAAAAAAAAGGAATAATAGGGAGACTGTAAACATTAAGAAATATGTATTTGGTTATGTTTAATAGATTTGCTAGATTACATAGTTTGCTAGATTACATTGGTTACATAGTTTGCTAGATTCTAATATGAAAAAAATTGGCTATAAAAGCCCTGCATCTTTTTCTATAATCTAATGTTCTAGTATTTGTTTATTGGCCTTTTCCCACAAATCATTGTGAGCCACAGGCCAATAAGGTCTTCCCTGCCTTCTTAGGTGGTCTGGAAAGACTGCTGTATGAATCATCTATCTCCCAATATATAGCAGCAACAAGAAATTTTGGAAGACTGACAAGAGATGATAATTGTTATTTATGTTTTCTCCTTAGACTCTCCTAAATAAGGAAAGTTAGGGCCACATGGAGTTCAGATTTCATATAATATATAAGGTATCTTTCAAAGGTTTGATCTTTTGGATGTAGTTCATAGGAATCAAAGAAATGAAGCAATTCAGATAACACACTCATTATTCAAAGAAATCTTAATAGCCTGTTTGTGGAATCCAGGTAGGGAATTCCACATAGCACTGATAAATGAAAGTTTGACAAATACTTAGTAAACCCATCAGTGAGAAATGCCCAGCATATAAATCATGTGGAAATGTGTTATGCAGATTGGCTATCAGCTTTGATAAAATTAAGCAAGTAACAAAAACTCTCTACTTAAAATGTGCTATAAAGATAAAAGATTTTCATGTTGTGCAAAGATACTCTTGGTGTTAGACATACCTGAATGTTCTGGACAGGTGAGCTCAGTTTATACGATTACAGGTCATTGCCCCAGGGAAAATTATTGTTCTCTCTGGTTTTCTTTTAATATCATCTAGGAAGTTCAACTTCTTATAATGGCTTTGTCAGTTTATGATTTTATGAGTCACATTGAATGGAGTCATCATTTTTTTGAGATTCTAATTTCAGGTATTTTTGGAAAAAGAAAATCACAATTCGGATGGGAGAAAGGACATGAGGAGACTAAAGACCTGGGATTTTGCTGATCAGAATGAAACCAATGTTGAAAGACTTTTCAAATCTATTGTTGGTGGTGCTCTGTGACTATGGTGAGTGTTGTGAGTGTACTTGATGCTAAAGGTATCAATAAACAAGCGTCAATGTGAAGATTATAATTTACTGATGTTGGTGAACTTCTATGGAAGAGGCAATAGGGTCAACTGTCTAGAACCTTTTAAATGGTGGCTTTGCAACCCTGGGTTCTCTTAAGGTGCTTCAGGAGTTCAGCATGATGGTTTAAATTGTACTTTAAATATATTTTTAACTCAAACATTTTTTTAAAAAAACTCACTACCATTTCAATAAATTGGAAACAATCTTGTTACCCTGAGTTCTCTTTGATTTCCCAGAAGTTCAGTACTATAAGTCACTTCACACACACACACACACACACACACACACACACACATACACATACACACTGATGTTTTGTATATTGGGGTTCTACACGAGATTTTTCTTGACTTGAACTGGGTTTGTAGGTCAGTGGTCAAGCA